ATTTTCCATATGCTAAATTTCCTTTGACTATTCCTAAATTTCTATTTTTTGCTGCTATATATCTTTCATCTTGTAAATTAAGTATTGTAGGATTATTAATTCATTTTTTATAACATGATTTTATTATTATTATTTGTATTCCAGCAAGAATTCTGCTTTATTATTATTTGTATGCCTTCATATACTTCGGTTTCTAAATCCTTAACGTTTTCAATTTCCATGATCTCTATGGTTCTGATACCATTTTTTTTTTTTAATAAAGAATTAGGAACAAAAATTAATTAAAATCAAGTTAAATTTTAAGGACCAAAGTGAAATCTGTTTTATATTAGAATGACTTGTTTATAAAAAAAAATATTTATATTGAGGGCGTCGTAGGTAGTACCTAATGTTAAAATGGTCAAAGGTTAAACTGGAATGGCCACTCTTTTATTTAGGGAATTTTCATGTATTTCCCTGATATTGGTGCAATGTCGGTAACTTCCGTCGTTGTAAGTCGTAACTTGCTTGAGAAAGAAAAAATTGCTCCACCATTTACTTGGGTAATTTTAAGATTGATTTAATCTTCTATGAAAAATAAATTTCTTGTACACACTGCAGGTAAATAGCTGCTTTACATTTGCGGCTAAACAAGATTTTCTGGAGAATGACATTCGTGTAAAACCAGATCTTGATGCTCACGGTGTTCTTGGTGATACTGGTTGGTACTGCATCCGGTCAATCTTGTGGGCTTTCAATTTTGAGCTGCCAAAAACAGTACTTGCTTTGCGTGGCCCTGTTTTCAACAAGGCAGGAGTTATTATAGAATGCAGTGCATCTTTATATTGGGAAGATGGGAAAGTAGCCACCTTCCACTGCTCTTTCCTGGCCAACTTGACAATGGATGTAACCGTGGTTGGAACAAATGGCACTTTGCATGTACACGACTTCGTTGTTCCATTTGAAGAGAAAAAGGCGTCATTCTCTGCTGCTACAAAATCAGGATTCACCGAGCTTGTGACCGGGTGGGAGCCGAAGCCAAGTGAGCATCACGTCACGACAGATCTCCCTCAAGAAGCCCTGATGGTGAGGGAGTTTTCTACACTGGTTGGAAGCATCAAATTTGATGGTTCTAAACCTGAGATAAAGTGGCCGACCCTAAGCAGGAAGACACAGCAGGTTTTGGATGCTGTCAAGCTGTCAATTGAGAGAGGTTTCGAAACTGTGGAGGTTTAGTCCTATAATGCTTTCGATGATTTCCATTGCATGGGATTTGCACTTTTCACCTGTGAAATTAGATTGCCTTGTATTGTGTGAATAATTGGCAATCCTAGTCTTGTGCTGTATCCAGGTCTGTTGCCTGGTTTCGATCGTTGGAATAAAAGTTGGCACATTTACATATTATCCTTCAATTATCTAGATTAGATAATTTGCAATCTTCATTAGAAGCAGTACAATCTATGTTAAAACTTTAGATCATATTTAATCTTACATCGAAGATAGTTTCGAGTATAAATCAATATTGATGGTTAAGATCATATATAGTTTCTATTAGAATATTAGCTGGTAGAGTGTAGAGATATTGAGGAAAAGTTTCGAAATGGTCTATTTTGTGCGCTAAGTCACGAGTTTAAGGGGTCGTATGGGTATTGTTTCCCATTCCTTACCTATATCTTTAATGGCTTTAATTATTTCAAAGAACTAGACTTGCTTATGAAATAAATCATCAAAATTGCAAATGCAACCAAGAGAACTGAATAAATCCTCGTCCTGTATGTAGAGTTACAACAATGGATGCATCGTCCTCTCCTTTTTGTGCATATTTATGTTAGTTGTTTTGTAGTATAAATTTACTCTTCCTTGTTATTTGACTGCTATTTAAACTATCCATGTTTCATGTTTTCTATATATCCTGATGTCGAACATAACTGAACAAGAACTAGATTGAGAAAGAAAAAGAGAAGATGGAAGGAATAGAGAAGATGGAGGGCACGGGTGGAACCAGGAAATGATTGGGTTGGGCTAAAATTTAAAAACTCTAAATATAGTCATGCTACAAGACATCGAGTTTAGAAGGCTACGCTCATTACATTCTTGACAAATAGTATCTCACATTCAATGAAGTACAAGTCTAAATTCTGACCCTAAGATGTTTGACTACATATTCTAGTTTTTCTTGCGAAATACGAAATTAACTCTCAACTTAGAAAATATAAACTGATAGTTCTAATATATGGTTCCTACCTAAGTTCTGCCGTCGGCTAAAAATACTTTACATAAGTATTCAACTGGCACAAAATCAACATCTATCTCAATGGCTCCGAACCCTGGCTCAACTACTCACAAATTGTCCTTTGAGTCAGTTTATGTTGTATCCTATGATATTGATATTAGCAACATGCGCTCAAAATTCATTCAACATATTCTATCAAAGTGACCAACCCAAAAATTCAGGATGACTATCATGACTATTGTATCCAAAATATTATAATCTCGCATGAGTATGTGTCAAACTAGCTAAAGTGGTATAAACTAGTCACATTCTATTAATCACAAACAATTTCAAATGATATCAACAAAACCAACTCATATAAGCACACAAATATAAAGAATATTTTTGGAGTTTTTGATTTTTTTATGTGAAAACATTAAGCCACTGTTTGATGGCATTTAATTTACTTTAATTTATTTCTCATACTCATTTTCAACCACATATTCACATAATAAAATATTCTATACTAAAAACAAAATCCTATTTTTTAACCATACGTTCTTCAAAAAAATACTATTCAAAACATAGTTTTTAACAATTAAGAGGCAACCAAACAAGGGCTATATGTTAACATAATACTCATTCAAATCCCATAAAATATAGCATATATTATACTAAAAACCAAAAATTAGAACACTCGGTGATATTCATCCCCAAACTTAAATTATACATCACCAAAATAGAATAAAGCAACAAAAGATGGATCTAAATACTCGTCGGAGGTATATCTATGGAAGTAGGCAGATGGACCTATCTAATCAGCAGCTTGTGTATTGTGAACATGAATATTTTACAACTGTCTAGTACATATTCAACCTCCGGGTATTTATGGCTAAATTTCACATTCCAAATCAAAAGATTCCAAAATTCAATGTATGAGTTTTAGCCATAACATTCTTTCCTCAATCTCAATGGTAACATAAAATTGGCTATGCTATAACTTATTAGAATGTTATGAAACTTTAAACCTCATGAAATTGAAAACCTAATTATTTAACGGGAAAATTGCAGCAACCTTTCATTTTTTGCAGACTTTACCCAAACCTTGGTTTTGTGTCACCCACGGTACCAAACCTTTAAAAAATTCGTAGCTACAATACTCATTGACGGTTTTCGTCCGTTTGATCAAGAAAATCGTTAGTTGACCCCAGAATTTAAAAAAAAAAAAAATTGATTAATTTTTTTAATCAAACCTTTGTTTGATTAATGGATTTTTTGAAATAAGGGAAATTTTTTGAATTATGAGGTCAACTAACGTTTTTCTTGGTCGAATGGACGAAGACCGTCAATGAGTACTGTAGTTGCAAATTTTTTAAATGTTTGGTACCATGGGTGACACAAAATAAAGGTTTGGGCAAAGTGTGCAAAAAAATGAAAGGTTGCTGCAATTTTCCCGTTAAATAATTAGGTTTTCAATTTCATGAAGTTTAAAGTTTCATAAAATTATAACAAGTTATAGCATAGCCAATTTTATGTTACCATTGAGATTGAAGAAAGAATGTTATAGCTAAAACTCATACATTGAATTTTGGAATCTTTTGATTTGGAATGTGAAATTTAGCCATAAATTGCAAAATTCAAAATTTTTTCGAGATAGAATTTTAAGGTTGAAAATCATAATTTGGATCTTTCAATTTGGGAAATGAATTTTCTGTTGACCTATGGTTGACATCTCGTTTTGATTATCACAAACAAATTGTTTTTATCTATAACAAATTGATTTCAAGTGTATAGCGGGTCAAGTAAATTTGCGCACGAAGATCGACACGGAAACAAATTCGCAAATCGAGGATATGAATTGAAACCAGTGAAAAGAAGCCTAAAAAGAATCAAGACAAAAATCGATGAACGATCAAGCAATACAGACCAAGATGTTCAATACATAGTATTTAAACATTTCACACTATGTAAAGGTAAAATGCTTCAACATTTGGCATATAATTACTAAGAGCTCAAAGTAATTTTTTTTATGCATACGAAAAAATATTTTCAAAATCAGATGATTGTATAAAGTCTTTATCAAGTCACTTACTTTAAAAATAATAAGTGAGAAAGTACTTCTAGAAATAACATCAAACGAAAAATCAAGTAAGAAAACGTCCACGGGCAAAATGTCCATCCGGACGTCCAGATCGGATGACCCTCAACGGTCACTCTTTTGACCTTTCTGACATCTTCAAATGGGTAGTATTTTTAGACCACTCGGACATCTGAATGCCTTATCCGGATGGACAAAGTTTTACCCGGTTTGAGTGCTATAAATTTCTCAATAACTTTTTACTTGAAACACCTTTTTTTTTTAAGCATTAAAGTGAAGCTTTTATTGATCCCAACAGCCTTACTCTCTATCCTTAAGAATATCAAAAAGCATCAAACTCTTGAAAAACATTTGGAGTGATTAAAATTTGTGCAATTCCTCATTAAAAGTTTTATCTTTCAACCTAAACACTTGGGCTATACTATTTACTATCTATTGAAGTGTTTGCTTTCTTCTCTTCTTGTACTCATTCTTTGAATCTATCATTAGATAAGAAGAGAAGATTTTTCACTTGTAAAACTCTTTTGAATTGAGGGTCATATTGAGGTCCCCGTAAAGTTCAATAGTTTGGGTCATGTTGAGGTCCCGTAAAGCTCAACATTGTAAAAGGATTGTTGCTTATTGTTTGTAAGTCACCGGAAGTGTTGTAAATGGTTGGATTACTTCATAAGTCAATCAACATAGTGAAAAAGGCCTTCCTCGTACTGGAGAGCTTGGTAGTGGAGGACATAAATCATTGCATTAGATCGAACCTCCATAACATATCGTTTGCTATCTCTATCCCTTTTTACTTAACGATTCTAACTTGTGTAAATTTACATTTTTTCATTTACGTGCTTACTCGTGTTTAGATTATTCATTATCGTTTGAACGTTCATTATCATTAAAATTTTGAGTAGTTAATGAAAAAGTTTTAAAAAACCAATTCACACCCCTCTTGGTTAGTCAATCTTTGGCTTTCATTTTCTAGCCCTAAATTCAAAATTTTGGATTTTTTTGGGATTTTTCAAAAAAATTCTGGTTCAAAACGACTGGATGGTAGTGCAACCAACACTATAGCGTTGGTCGCCCAGTGCCATAGCACCGACCTAGTGTTGTAGGGGCGCACTACCCTGGCAGCAAAAAATAAAAATAAAAATAAAAATAAAATATCAATAAGCAATAAAACTTCAAATCTTGGTAGTTAAAGTTTATTTCGGATTACTAATTTTCTAACATAGATTAATTAAAGCACTATGTTACCAAAATAACCTCTCTTGTTGAAATTAATTTATTTGGAATATTAGGAAGGTTGTGTACACGTAATTCATGAGGATATTTACCGGTCTAAAGGAAGGTCAATATTTGGCCGAATTATTTGCACACTTGTGATAATAAATATGTGACAATTGTAAAGTTTTACATTATGTGAACAATGAGTTAGTTCAAAGATAGATTTAAGGTTTGACCAGATTTTTTGTCAATATTTGATTATTACACCAAGAATATAACTTACAAGTTAATATTTATGTCCAAAGGCTAAATGTCAATGTTGTGCCGGTTCTTGTAATGGATTCCGCCATTATTTAGATTTATTGATTGCTCAATTTGAATTCCAATGTAAACGTGTTAGTAATGTTTAAGTTATCTATTCAGTTAATCCATTAACTTGTGCAATATATAATAACATTAATTCAATTCGTGTGCTTAATCCAAAGTTTAAGAGAATGTTTCTATCGTTCTAGCGGTATAGATATAGATCTTGCATTAAGGATGGAACCCAGTACGCTTACGGATAAGAATTCTGCTAATAAAATCGAGACTTGAATAAGTAGGAACGTTCAAAATGCTCAAGTTTTATGATCATAAAGCATAAAATTCCAGCAATATTTAGGGATGATGTGTCCAATAAAATAATTGCTAAGGAATTTCTTAAACAAATTGAAAAACGCTTTGCAAAAGACAATAAGACTGAAACTAGTACGTTTCGACTAACTTAATTCACTAAAGTATAAGGCTAAAGAAATCATATGGGAGTGCACAATGGAGATATCTTAGCTTGCTTCAAAACTAAAGACATTAAAGCTTAAGCTGTCTTATGACATATTCGTGCATTTAGTCTTAATTTGTA